TTGTGATTTGACCCCCCACCCCCACCCCCCCCAAGATGGTAGGGATCTAGTAGTAACAAGTGCCTTACTAGTAGTAACAAGAAGCGAGAGCAGAAACCCCGGCCGTTCGCCGTTCCGGTCCAGGCTTCATCGAAATGCGTTTGTGGCCCATTGCCCAACGTCTCTCAGTGATGCATCGGAAGAAGACGCGAACACGTCTCCGTTTGGCGTACCGTTGCATAGAACTCATCGAAATCTATCCATTCTAGATTATATAGAACTCTCCATAACTCCCCCATTTCAAGTGTAAATTACGTTGAATCTTCTTGCTAGCAACACCAGTAACTTGTGCGAGATTTTTCATCTGAGCGTGGCAGCATGGCTCCCTAAGGCTATCTCACTGGATGGTTTGTGCCGGATCTGGCGCTGATCTCGTTGGACATGGTCTCCTTCTTCAGCACGGAAAGCAACAACATGGAGTCCTTCACCTTGCTTCGTCTCTTCCGAAACCTGCGGCTCTTGCGGCTGGTGCGGATGGTGGGTCGCGCCAGTGTGCTGAAGGAGCATTTGGAAACCTTCGAAATCATGGAGTGGGCATCCGACACTTGGACTTTATATAGTGGCTGAATGCTGCCCTCCCAAAGTCGGAGCTTTGTTCTGGAGTTTTGATCAAGCCAATTGGACCCCAGCAGCGTTAGGCTCGCACCAAGAGACCGTTTCGTTGGGTCTCGTCATTTCCGACCTCGGCGTTTGCTTCGGTCGATGTGAGGTCTATGTGGAGACCACCTTGGGAATGATAAAGCATTTGGTCCCTTGGTCTATCAACCGAGACCACCCAACAGCCGCACAGCCGATGAACGAGGCGATGAACGAAGGAGCGAGAGCTGTAGACACTGTAGACCAACCTACCTAGCTGCTTTCGTTCAGCTCTGAGGCCATCATCGCATTGATGTGCCATTTCTGCGGCTGTGCCTGGTACGCTCTGGGGCGAACGGATCAGTTCGGATTGGGGCAAGCCTCCTGGATCACTGTGCATGAAGCAACCAGACACTTGCCTTTCAGAAGTCACCCGTTAGCAGAGAACCGTTGGACACCTCGGTTCTTTTCGACTGGAGGACCAGTCCTTTTCAGGGACCCCGTCCTACCGTTCCGGTCCTTTTTAAGCGTCTCATGTGAAACAGGTCGCTGGCATGGGCACCGCGCCGCGGGTTTCCAGGGTCGGTATACATGCCGCCCCCGCTGACGACCATGCGCCTCGAAGTGGGCTCCGTTCGCTCCGTTCGCTCCGTGCCTCAAGGAGAGGAGCTTGGCCTTCCGAGCGATCTACTCTACATGCGCCGCGGACGGGATGGCGGGTGAGGGACAAACGATGGCAAGCCTGGATGAAAAATCTTAGAAGCTTATAATCCCTAACTATCCACACATCCAACTTGTTTGTTTCTATCATAGTCATGGTATGTCATGGTATATATGCTTCCTTTCTTTTGCCTCATGCACATGTGTGACATCCATTCCATTTGCAAGACCAATCCTCCCTAGCAACCGACATCCCTCACAACCCACTCCCACTCCGATCGTCCGATCGTGGGAGTTGTCACTGAGACGATCGACGAATCAGACCCTCCTGCTCCGGTCGACCGAGGCTGTTGAGATGCCTTACTGAGATCATTTGGTCTATTTACCATTATTTACCTACACCTGGGGTGGTTGAACAAAGGGTATATATGATGGTCAATTCTGTTTTTGATGATGAGTCCCATGGATGGAGGAATGACAATAATAGGAAACGGTTCATGCTCCGTCAACCAGGATCCCCCGGTGCCTTTCAGACCGAGCGAGCCATAGAGATAGAGCGCCATGGCGCGATCTCATCGAAAGATCATTTGCAGGTACAGTACATCGCTACATTGGGCTCTCACGCAGTTCACACCTGCAGCTATGGAGGTGCACCGCAGCAATCCATATAATTCATATAGTTCAAAAATATTTCAGTCATGCATGTCATGCATGAACGCGCGAACGCGCGAACTGGCGCCATTGAATCGGACAAGCCTGACCCTTTATGTTGGGATGTGAGAAGGGTCAGGACTTGCGCCCTCACCGAGCTCCGGACCCACGCCCCGGAACGACGCCCGGCCGCGACGCTTGGGCGAACAGGTCTCGGCGAGCAACGGCGTGGAGCGCTTGTTCACTGTGGGCGTGGTGCTGACAGGTGAACACGAAGACGGTCACCGGTGGATCGTGTCAACGGTCGGTCTCGAAGGGTTCGCTCTAGCGAGGGATGATCGTGTCACAGGGATGATGGCCATCAATGGCAGAGAAGGAACATTTGCCAAAGTCCCATTGTGTGTGAAGGGAGAGAATAGATGCAACTTCAATGTGTCTCTTGTGTTTCCTCTCAAATCTGGCACTCGACTCACACACATCAATTGGTTTCGGGCGCTACGGATGGGGCGAAAAACCCGCGGAACGAAACGCGGCACGCACGCGGCCACGTCGCCAGGTCTCATCGTGTTTTCCTTTTTCGTGGGCTCGATCAACCAATCCTTGAGCACCCTGAAAGCCCGAAGTGCAGAGGACGACGCGAGAGGGAAAGAGGGATGCGGCGAGATGTGTGTGTTTGAGAGATGTGAAGAAGGTGGTTTTTTTGAGAGACTGAGAGAAGGAGCAGCTAGTTCGCGGTATTTCGAGGAATTCAATGAAATTCAGGATGTCTTGTAGAAATCATTGGAAATCACCTCTGCACAGTGAAGTTCCAAAACACTTTCCTCAAGTCAACAAATCGATTCTTCTGGTCCATGCGAGTGGCATGCTTCATGTTGCTTCCATGTGTGTGGTGCTTCCATGGCTGAAGGCATCCCAACTGGTGTGGTCGTCCAATGGGTCCTCCTCTTTCTTTCCCCAAGGCCTTGGCATTGTCCCATGCGGTCCCCCAAATAGATAGAAACGCCATTTCAACGGCCCTTTCCAATCCAGGAAGAGACGTGGGGATTCCACGTCTTTCGATCGGGGACGAACAAAGTCGTCTTCCACCACTTGTGGGACCACATGTTCATCACACCCCTTCAGAAGGTCCGTGAAAGGCGCCGCGAAGGGCACGTCACGGACTGAGCCCCGATGGATTTGCTTCTGGGAGGATTTTCCGGAGCAACGCTCCCTTAGTTTCTGTATATAGGTGGAATTAGGAATTTTGGTCAATTAAGTTCAAGAGTGTATCAAAAATATTCAAAAATGGTGTATCACTGTATCACTTAGGTGACCGAAAAAAGCGCGCTTATCGAGAAACTGCTTTTGACGATCGACTATATACTTGGATTGTACACAGCGTCCGCATCCTTGGTGGTCAACAGGACACGTTCCAGAATACACTGGTTCGCCGCTACATCAGTGAGCGGCAGTTATCGATGGAACTTGCCGCTGACATGTTGGCCTTCATCCGGCAACGTGGACTGGGAAAAGCCAAAAGCAAAGTGGTCTTCAGCGACATCAAGGCGATGGCCCGACCATGGAGTGGCTGTCAAACGATGATAGAGAAGTTTGGGAGTGGTTCAAACTAAGGAAAATTGGAATCATTCGAACGCAATTGTTTAGATGTTTTTGGAGGACACCAGATTTGTTGGATCTTGGATGACCGCAGCAAGGTCAGGCGAAGTCCTGGTTTGCGTCAGCCACCAGCAGAAATGCCGCATTAGTCTATAGCAGTTCCATGCTATAGGATGTGGTTTTGTTCGTGTCGTGGATGATGGATCCAACATCCCACATCCCTCTCCTCCACCTCCCTCCAAATCCGGCACATGGATCCCATGGAAACCGCTGGATTTAAGTATCAGCATCACATTCGGTTAACGTCCATGTTTTGTTGCAGGCTCTGAGTCGTCCTCACGACCATTTCGGACTGCCTCGGTGCCAGGCCTTGGACAGCTTGCCACAAGAGTTGCTGGCGCACTTGCAGCACGAAGTGGGCCTTCCGATCTTGGACACTCATGCGATGCTGAAGCATTTGAGTCACCTGGCACTGGAAATGATGAAAAACATTTGCGACGACTCTTCAACACTTTGAACTAAGCTGCTGTGCTGTGCGCATGCCGGCAGCTTGCCCCTTGAAGCCGTCAGCTTTGAGCATTCCCTCCGAAGTACATCATGACCCTCCTGAGGTGTGCTGGGCAGCAAGGAGATGACTCGCTTGTGCGAGAAGGCCCTGAAGGAGTCCCGACGGATCTACGGCGAACACCTGTTCGAAGCCGGCGGCGGCGGCGAAAAGATGTACTTCATCCTGTCCGGACGCTTTCACTACATTAGTGTCTTGGACGGAATTGTGACCCGTACACATGAGGACCCCAGGGAAGCGGCAAGCAGCCTGGCTGCGAATTGCTCAAGCTTTGGGACTTTGGGCGTGTGATGGATGTTGATTGACTGAGGCATCTTCAGGTGTGTCTTGTTGGAAATATAGCGAGTTCGATATAGAATTCTCCCTAGGGCTCCAGTCGTACCTTCTCAGGTTCGCTGGATTCAGCTCCAGATCCCGAACCCGAGGAGGTACGACTGGAGCCCGAAAAAGGGTCGGGTCCACATCGACCCAACCACCGACACACCGCACCCTCGATCGACCGGGTTGACACGGACGACTCGATCGCCTCCGAGGCGAACAGCTGCGGGACGATGTGACCCAGGAGGTCTCCAAGGGCATGCGCTGCAGCCGGGGGCACCCGGAAGAAGGGCGGAGGGCGAACGCCGGTCGAATCACATCGAAGAAAGGGCACCACCTCAGCAAACTCGCGGTCATCGTGCTGGACACCCCCCAAAAATGGACCTAGCTGTTTAGACCCCAAACCGTGTACAGCATTATGAAGCCTTTGATAGACGATGGTTGGACTATACCAAATCAAAGGCCAAGTCATACATATGCCAAGTAACTCGCCGCCTTGTTTTTCCGCGGCCCCGTTTCCGGCCGTCTTTCGGACGGCTATAGGTGAAGCCTCTCTTTGGCTCTCCTGGGAGCATCATGGAACCATGACGCTCGGCGAACAGCGATGTGAACGCTTTGAAGCACTTTTTGGTGTGTTAAATTTTGAAAAATACATCAAGTGTATTCAATGTCCTATACTATATGTTTTTTTTGATTCTTAAAGAAGCATAAAGTTGGTTTGGTTTTCCTTGTTTGATTCTTTCTCTCTATTGGGTGAACCATGTTGGGTCCTCCAACCATCCGGTTTCGCTTGTGTTTTGTCCCTTTTCTCTTCCCAGGATGCAAACCACAAACATGTGCCAACAGCCGCAGCACACACATAAGACACCTGTGAGGTCATTGGTTTGGATCACAACCCTTACACCCCAAAGCATCACCTCCGCAGAAAGCAAGCGCAGCAGCCAGCGACGCAAGAGAAGACCGCTGGCGCTCGGGGTCTTATTGCCCTATTTGGGTTGGAGGTGATACAAGAGGTCGAATTACATACAACCCATTACTTTTCACCTTAATTACAATATGTTGTTTTGTTGCGGAAAGTCATGTCAGGAAAACTCCCAATAGTTCAAAGTAAATCAATTGGACTTTTTTCCCGCTGGCCTACTGGTTCTTACTTCTTTGCAGCAGATCGCAGCAGCCCCTCCCAGCCGCAGCCCTCCAGCGTGAGCCGCAGCACCGATGGCGCACAGGACTTGCATGGATCACAGCTCGCACCTCTTTCAGCTGGACGGCGCCCAGTTCCGGAAGATCATGGTCCGCTCGGCGCCTGGGACGGTGAGAGGTGGGTGCGGAAGGCGCGAGGCGAGGCGAGAGGAAGGTGAGAGGAAGTTGCAGCGACATGTGGAGGGTTCGTGAGTGAAATGATGGTTGAACGAGCGTGGTGATGATATCGAATCGACATATCTACATTGCACAAGTTGGAGAACCATATAGTTTGACTACAGGTGGGGGATTAGACAGATCTGTTGCAAAGACAAAAGCAAGCATGTGTCTTTTGCCATTTGCCAATGGCATATGATGCCCATTGTTCACTTGCAAGGACCAAGCAGAGCTCTGCGCAATGTATGCGCGGCTTTTTTACAAGAACTTGATTGAGGAATACTTGACCGAGGAGAGGGCTGGCACTCGCGTCCGTCCTGCGTCGTCCTGGTGTCTTTCGAAGATGTCAGTGTCGCAGCTACCGGGTGGTTTCGAGAATTCCGCTTGGGAGGTGTTGTGCAAGCTGCATCAAGCTGCCAGGGATGAAATCGTTGTGGGTTTCGCCCGGATGGGATGTGGACATCGACCGAAGGTTCCAAGGTCCAGGCGCGGCTCGCTGCCGCCAGGAGGAGGCCACCGACTTGTTTGGCAGCGACGAGGACGTCGCGCACATTTTGACGCCCATCCGCGCGGTGATCCGCACCAGCCGCCTGGGCGCGGTCCTGGGCGCGTTGGTGGGGGGTTTCCATCCATCGAAGAATGCAGATTCACTGAGAACAAGATCCATACTATGAGGATGATCAAGTCTTTGTTTTACATATACATGTTTGGACAATGGACATGAACCTTTTCACTGGTTCTCAGTTCCACAGGTTCTACGCACATGAGTAGAACATGGGGAGTTCACACACCATCCCCTTGGTTCCCTTGGTTGGTAAACATCCCCGGTTGGTAAACCAAATGTTGCTACGAACATGAAGCCAACCGAAGTAAAGTTCTTTCCCAACCACATCCTCTTTCGTCCCTTGCGTCTCCGGCGCACCATGTGGGTGTTTGGTGCGCGTCTGAAGCAACTTCATGGCCGAGTTTGGCAGCTACTCAGTCCATTGGGCATTCCAAGTGTGGAAAGAGCACCTTCAACAGAAGAGCCTTTGCAGCAGATGATCGACTAAGTCGGCTGAACATCGAAGAGAGGCGCAGGAGTGGCTTCGGTGGCTTCGGTGGCGCCCGAGCCGGGTCTCCCCGTTTTTGGAAGAGCCGGCTCGTTGGTCGTTGTGTTTGTTCCTTTTTTTTGGACGAGTTATTGGGGTCCGTGCTTTGTTTTTGTTTGTTGTTTTTTCGGCTCGTTTTTGGGGGCCGAGGAAAGAGGAACGACGGAAGAGAAGAACGTGTCTCAGATACTGCCCACGCAGGGACGCCGCTTGAGACGGATGCCATGCCTCCTGCTTTTTGGGACCAGCGCGGTGAACCCGAAAGTCCATCCGTTCTCGGCCCGGCCGGGGCCTCTACTCCCGAAACGGCAGGGAACCCCTGAAAAAACGGGGCAGAGCTCGATGAAATGGAATGACATGACTCCACCTGAACTGGGTGGTATGTGAAATTGGGGATGTGCCGCCGGTTAGCACGGAATCACAGAACGGCTGCGCGGGTTAGCACCCAGCGGCAAAGCTGGGGCAGATTGACAATGGAGGCGAAAGCACATCCCCGGTGGATTTTTTGAAGCTGCGACCTTTCTGGAAAGGCGAACGCAGGCAGAGCTTCAATGGCTTCCAAGGGTGCGAAAAGCATGACTGATTCAATTTGTTTGACCGACATGGTGCTATATGGTGCTTCCGAAAGGTCTCGGGAACGAAAATGATCAGCTTCCGATTTCCCAAGTGTACCTTGATCTAATCTTGTAGGAGTTTTTGAAAACACGTTCCCCCATTCCCCCCATGACGCAGAGGGATCTTGCTTGCGGACCTAAATGATCGTCCTCGTCTCTGGATCCGGTCGCCCATAGACGACCCCAAACGTACCGGACCGACTGACCCAGCGACCGAGACCGTGCGATCCGTGGGATCAGACGCAGCTCTGTCTGGGGTCTGTCTCGAGCGATTTCGCGATTCGCGCGTGGAGCAGAGAGCAATGGCAGATGCCAAGTTCGCTTTTTGCACATGAGGTTTACTATACCCAGACACGACTAATGGGACTGCCATATTATGCTTACATTGGGGTGGTTTGAGGGGTCAATTGATCGGCATATATGGCAGTCCCATGGAGTGTTTGGGATATAGACCGATGCCACCCCACACCCTTCGAACACCGGAATGCTGTTTGCCCCCGGTTTTCGACCACGGAGATGGACAATCAGTGCATGGACATGGAACTTGGACGAACTTGAAAAGGGAGACCATGTACCCACCAAGAAAGACTTGAACCTCCATTCATACTCAGTCGGTTGAAAGCGATTCGGGGCCAGCTCAATCTGACAAGCTGTAGATTGCTTTTGGGCACTTTGACTTAGTTGGGCCTCGTGCCTTTCGGAACCCTTGGCACTAGCCTCGGTAGCGGCTGCGTCGAAACGTTGGAACTTTGAAAAGAATCAGATTCGATCCATCACGGATCCAAGGACGTGCTCCCAGAGCCAATGACTCTGGATGTTTGGCGAATCCTAAACTTGGGGTTTTGCTGGAAGGTATGGGTTCAGACAACGCGAGGCCCAGCATAGTCGCATAGTTCTATAGTCTATAGAATAGTTCTTCTTCCGCAGAGACGAAGGGGGTTTAGGGAGCGAAGCTGAGACACAGCTGACCTGGATGGCTTGGGATGGCTGAATGTTGACGCACATACACAGATCAGAAGTTGTGTGAAAGCCATTCCTTTCGTGGACATGATAGCACAAAGAACACACATGAACAATTTGTAGCATGATTTCCACATGTCATGTCATCTTCAGATTCTTGACAGCGGAGACTGACTGAACCCATTTGGCTTTTCACTTCCTGCGATCCAATTGAGAGTCTTCTCATCCCGTCGGATGGCAGATCGGAAACGCCAGGGCAACCCATCGATGGTTATTGTATGGCCTATACTAACCTGTACGTGCTGAATAAGTCCTTCTGGATCAAAAAAATGAACGCTTTTGCAAAGACAAGGGACATGCTGGCATCATCTGGCATCCAAGAAGTGTTTGAATATGTTTGAATGGTCAAATCAGGCCAACAGACAACGCTACCAGCTACAGCGGAAACACCGCTGGACCTTTTTCCAACGTGCCAAAAAAGGTTCCTCTCTTCAACGTGCCGGGCTTTGAAGCAGGACCAGTCGTAATGGATGTGAAGCGAGACCAGTTTTGAAGGAACGAAGAATAACAACAGTTGGATGTTTTTTCGATCGTTTTTCCATGTTTTTCGTATACTTTGTTCCCAGAAAACCAGGACAAGCACTTTCATGTGTCTCCTCACTTTGCCTTTAATCCTTTCAAGCAGCAGAGTTTGATTTGTCCACCAGCTGCCAGTCAAACACGACTTTTGGAAAACGGATGTCCCTGTGAACTCAAACACGGCGCTCGGTTCCTCTCCTCCCCGGCAGCCACGTTTCAGCTCTGTTCTCCATCGGAGCTGGTGAAGCTTTCCATGTCCGTCGCCTGGTCATGAAGAGAAGATCTTCCCGTGTTTTCCGCCGACCTATGGTTGGTCTCCGTGAATGACGTTAAGCTCACGTGACGTTACGTTGTGGATCACATGAAGAAATCGGGGGTCGAAATCACATGGGGAAACTCTACGGGGTGATTGGCGGTTGATACGCCTGGGATGTTCTCTTCTCTCTTTCAAAAGGATGGAGACGACCGGTCGTTTTCTCAGCTGATCTCAGCTGATCTGGGAACGTCCGATCTCGAATCGAGCATCGAACCTCGTGCGGCAGGTGTTTCGGTGTCGCAGAAAGCGTGTGTGTTGGGACGTTGACCAAAGCAGTTCAACAAAGATCAGGATCTACTTGAAATTGACCGTCGAGTGAAAACAACCTATTTGAAACACGGTCATCGGAAATCGCGCGATCCACTTCCATCGATGATTTCTGGGAGTCTATACCCCAGCACCTTCCCTTCATTTCCGTTTGTTGTTTTTCCCAGCGGCTTTACACGCTCTTGTTTTTCTTCCATTGGAGACACCCTTTTGAACTTCATTTGGAATCTGCCGAGTCTGGGTAAGTCGCTTGGACACTCTTTTCTCCCCAGAGGCGAACTGATTCGCATCGCACGGTTTTCGTCATCGCTCTGAGGAGAACTGAACCGAAAAGACGAAAAGACGCCTCCGACCTGAGCCTCAGAGCTCCAGAGCTCCAGAGCTCCTCAGTGCCAGCCTTAAGAGCTCACTTGTTCATATGCATGGTTCACTTGGTTGCAGAGGCAAAAACTTTGGTTGCAAGAGGAATGCCACTTACCACTTTCTGAAGGTTTTGCTTTGCAAGAAGAGTTTTGTTTAATTATGTAGGTCACGCGATGTCAAACTTAGGGCACAGGCGATCTCAGGGCACAGCGCAGACTAGAATCTCATCCAGATTCGCGGATTTGTGCTACTATACTAAACACATATATATATATACATACCATATATGTCTGATTGCGGCAAGCATGGCCTCACCATCCCATAGAACCTGAAGGACCTCTATCTTTGGGCCAACCACTAACCAATAACACCCCAAAATACATGTGCTTGTGGCTTGTGTGTGTCTTTTTTTCTCAGGTCTTCTCCCATCAACACAGGGGTCCAACATGGCCTCACCAGGCCGTATGTTTTGGTGTCCACACGGCCTCACGCCCCTCCTTCTCAGCCTCCTCAGGTCATGCGACTCTTCCTTCTCAGCCTCGCCTGCGCGGCGGCCTTCGAGACTGACTGGCCGGAGGAACTCCACCGGCCGTGCGCATGTGTGATGCCATGAGTCACACGGACTGGTGGGGACGATAGCGCCCACGGCCGGTGAAAGAAGAAGTGCATGTCACCCCCGGCAGTGAGTGATTCTGAGCGATGACAGCAGTTGGTTCATTGGACGGAAGAATGACTTGAATCAAAAGATATCTGGCTTGCCAGCCACCCGCCATGAACTTGATGAACTTGGGACATGAACTTGCATCCTCATGCGCTGCATGCAGGATGTTGAAGAGTTCAACTTGCTGCTCCTGCAGGCGCCCGAAGAGCACTGAAGAACAGTGGCAGTGTTCGGCGACCACGTTCGCCCCACACGGGGGGCCACAGATTGGCCGTTGCCTCCATTCATGGTCGTCCCCCCAAATCAGGCAAAATCAATATATCCCATACTCCATGTATGGAATATATGCCTACATTGACCCCCCAAACCACCCCAATGTAGGTAAATATACCATACATGGAGTGTCTGGGATATATTTTTGATTGGTGGTAACCCCAGAAGGAGTGAACACATCAGATGTGAGAAACCCTTCAAAACCGGGGTGCCGAACTCCTTATTGAGAACCGGGGTGCCAATGTTCCAATGTTGGCCAAACGATCCTGAACTTCGCGGAGTGGCAGACCAACGGCAGAAGCTTTCTGGCGTGTAACCGATGTGGTGAAGGAGCAAGAAGGTGATCCAGCCTGACAGTGCCTAATAGAAACATATGTTATATAATGTTATATAGATATATAGTTTCTGTTTTCTCGTGATAAGTGATAACAAACACATCATACTGATTCAGAACAAAACTCTAGCAGGACCTTCCAACAGGCTGCTTGAGGACCCTAACAGGTGGTTACAACAGGCACCGGACTTGTCACCAGGAATCACCTGCTGGAGCCGCCTCCAGGTATTGTAATCTCTATATATATATATATATATGTGATCTAAGTCGTCCAAGACCATTAAAATTCCTTAGTTGATTCGGGATTCAGCCTATTAAATTAATGGTTGTTGGAAGCCTAGGGCCTAGGGTAGTAATCTAAGTCGGTCCAAGCACAAACCTTTGGCTCCGTCCGAGTTCCTCCTCCCGCCTCGGATCCGCTCTCCTCCCGCTGGCCTTCCGGGGTCCGACCTAGGTGCAACAGCGGCTCACGAAGACCGAGGCACCGCGAAGGAACCCAACGAGTCCGCCGAGTGGCCTCGGAATGGGAAGATGTGATGGACATGGAAATGATTCCTGTCTTGGAGATGGGTTGGAAGATCTCCGAGAACAACAGGAACAACCACAACACTCCGAACGAAAACCAGACTTGCTTCATCCGCTCCGAGAGGGACTCTTTTTGAGAGTTCTTTTTGTCGCTTTTTAACTCTCAGACTTGTGTCGCTGAGACACGCTGAGACACGCTGCATGTGTTACTGAACCTCTTTACAAGGCGCCCAGCGTCGACAGGATCGAACGATCAGGAGGTGGAGGCTTTTTCCTGGGTCAGTAGATTATATAGGTCCACTGGCCATGGATGTTGTATATAGTCATTGACTGTGACCTCGCGCTGCCGAACACGATGCTGCCAGGTCTTCAACACTACTCAGGAGAGTTTTCTTGTTGGAGTGCTGTGAATAGCAACACCTTGGTCATTTTATGATATGCATGATATGTCACCCACTAGCAGGCCAGCACAGCCAGCTTGCCTCCCGTTTGCCTCCCTTCAAGCCACATGAGCAGCGTTCTAAATTCACCCTTTCTTTTTAGTCAGGGACCGGCGAAAAATCAGTGAACATAGTGACTTTAGCCGATGTTTGTAAGGTGTCCATAAGGTTTGCCGTAAGGATGTGCAAACTTGAACGATGCCGGAAGGCTACCGGAAGCGACACTTCACTTGTTGATTTTGATTCTGTTTCCTTTCTTGTTTTGCAACAACATTTCATATGTGACCATAGTGGACTTGCATACCTTCGCCGTAAGCACAACGTAAGAATAGCCATGCATACATATATATGTCACCGTACGCAAAAGATAGAAAAACGTAAGCTTTGCGTAAGGCCTACCGTAAGGTTTGATTTCTCGGCAAGAAAAGACAACACAATTTTGAACACCGCTCACATGAACCTTGTTCAGGAGACAGCCAATGAGGCGATGTCATTCTTCCAGGCAGACCAGGAGATTCGCTTCAGACCAGGAAGAAGCTGTGTGCGTTGGATCAAGAACGGTCTTTGCTTAACTTTGAACTTTGGAACCCAAGAAAACCGGGTGCTTTCTTTTGTGCCATGTTGGGCCCCTTAGAATCCTTGGACCCTCCATATTAGCCAGGGTCGAAGCCTCGACCTCAATTGGCCTTCGGTTGAGAATGGATACAGTCCTGGGTGGAAGAATCATGCTTTCGTGGAGGTATTCAAAAGGTCTTGGTCGTCTTGGTCGTCTTCCTTTCAGCCATGTCCATCCACCGATACAGGTCAGGCGATGCACCGCTTTGCTTTTCTTTTCATCGGTGGATCGGTCGGTCGGCTGCGAGGATGAACTTCTTCCGTTCAACCGATCCACCGTGAAGAACTCAACAGTTCTGCGTGAGACATGTGACATGAGACATGACTTCAATGCGATGAGCTTGGGAAGAGATCGGAAGGCCATTTGTTATACACTGCGTAACACTGCGTAACTGACATAAATTGGAACTAGAATGGGCATACTACCACACATGCAGGATCTTCTTGGCGGGTAAAAAAAAGACAGCGTTGGACTATGCTGCAATATGCAGGCCAGTTTTTAAGAACTCAGCATGTTCAACATCACTCTTCCAAATGTATTTTGATGTGTATAAGTACAATCTTCCTATATCTTCCTAAAGATATCAACAGCATAGCACGGCTGTCTCAAAAAACAGAAGAACATGATGCTTTTCTCGCTCCCTCTTGTCCGTCTCCGTAACACACCGCCCAACGTCTCCCGTGGCTCCGGTTGCTCCGCGTGTCGCTCGTTGCTCGTGTTGCTCCGCATCCGAGGCGGAGCATTGGGCACCTCTGCGGCACTGGTCCGTCGCGCTGCTGCTGAGCAGGTTGGTGCCGGTCGACCGGCCACGCGTGGCGACGCGGCGAATGAGTCGTGGCCGCGCTTTTGGTTTTTGGGTGGCGAAGAGCGCGAATTTGGGTGAAGAGCATTTTTGAGAATCGGCTTCTTTTGATAGGCTTAGAGAGGTCCAAAAGGCATGAAAAGGGATCATAGGGATCCCATGAGCAGGATGGTGAGTCTTAGAGCCACTAGAAATGTGTGGAAAGTTACAAGGCCATAGATGTAATATGCCAATATGTCTCTGATCTGTTGTTGACTTTTGGAGGAGACATATATAACTTGTATGGTTTAGAGGTCCATCAAAACTTTCAAGCGGATTGGTAAAGATGGAAGAAGGGAAGGGTCGCCATGGTATTCCATCTCCTTAGTTTTCAGGGGTGAAACCAAGCTTTGACATGCCCAAACGCTGGTGGCGCCTAATAAATGGCCTACATGTTCACTACGTCTCACCACGTAAATATGTAGGCCATCCTTACCTTTTTTATGGCTATACCATGGTCGTTGCGGTCTACCGGGCGAGCTGCGAGGAGCGCCTCGAGGCTGTTGACACAGGGCCACTCTCCGGACATCATTGGAGAGATCGCTGGATGCCGAGCGAAGCAGAAGCAGAAGCGAGAGGATTGGCTCGCGAGAAGGCTACACCAAGGTACATAGAACCATGTCATCGAAGAAGAAGAAGAAGAAGGAGGAGGAGGAGGAGGAGGAGGACGAAATACATGTATTTTTACTACTATGTTGAAACATCGTTCGGCTGTTACCTGCCACTTGCCAACATCCCTGTTTTTTCGGCCCTAAGAGAACCTGGAAGAAGGAAGACCAATTGTGCAGCAGCTCACTGGGTCAACACAAAGAACTAGCTAGTTTTGGCCCATCGCTGGGTGAGGTTTTGACCTGCATTGCCTTGGTGGTTTGGATCTTCTTTATGATGCCTCTCGGACAGTCTCGACCGATCCACGCGCCCGGACATGAGCGGGGACCTATGGGTTCAGGGCTGATGAGCTGAGCTACCAAACACAAGGCCCAGCAAGTGGAATGGTGAGCAGTGCAGATGACCAGCATCCAAGTAGTATGGATGTTCTTCCCAGTCTTGGCCGTAGCTCAGATGTGTTTTTTCCAAGACTTCATTTGCACCAGGGTGGACACCGGACATCAGGGGATATTGCTAATATGAGTCTGAGCCAGTGCTAGCTGACGAAAACGCCAGACGACGTGGCCACGCGGAGTCTCCGTTGGCCGAGCCAGTGAGGCTTTGTAGCTGGCTGGGCTTTGGAGGCGCGGGGACGAGGGAGGGCGCGTTCCACGCGATTCCGGGAGCACGAACTGTGCTGTTTTTCGACTGGAACGGAATGGGCTCCGGGGGAGCTGGTGTTTGTTTCCAACAGTGCTTCCCCAGCTCTTAGGACATGAAGTGAAACCAGTGCCACATATACCTCAAGCATCCTTAAGCTATGGAACCCAAGCAAGCTATGATTGACGTGTGGCACTGTATAAGGTTTCAGTACCTGGTACCGTGTAGCCTCCGGCTCGTGTTTCATCCATTGCCCCCTCGAGCCCCCTTCATTCCCCCCATTGTGTTTCATCCAT